TTTGGCCACCCAAAAGCGGGAAACCAAACCTCTTGGAGTTGTTCCTGGCTGAGTGCTAAATCGACCAAAGATGTGTACCGATGGAAGTCACAGCTAAGACATGAATTTGGAATTTTAAAGTAAGGCTGCTACCACAGGATACAAGAAGATATTTAAGTATTTATTGAAGCAACACAACAGTTACTTGGTGGAAGGAATGTACGAGTCACTGCAAAGCATTATTTTGGAATGGATTTGCACTCCCATACTGTTTCATCCCATACTGCCAGCTCTTTGAAGTGTACCACTGTGCTTTTATTAGCTGTTTTGAATGGGCTTTTAAAATTGACACCACTGTTGCAACACACAAAAGGCCTTTTAGGACGGCATCAGTAATGTTTTAGTAAGAAAAGATACTGTAGGCCTAGCCCCCCCCGCTCTTTTCCCTTCTTTTCCGTGGCTGAAAGACTGCTTTTCTGAGTGGGGCTGGCACGTCTAACGCAAGGGAAGATCAAGATGAAGAAAGATGGCTCTACAAACGTATTTATTAAACAAAAAGTCTTCTGTGCTCTTCTTTGGTATATATCAGTTTACATGGGAAAGACTAGATGTAAACAAGAGACACTTCATTGGGGGGAAACGCCCCTGAAATTTGTTGTGGTTTTTTTTGTATTTTTTATTTTGTAATATTGAAAACATGGAGATCTAACAGATATACCAAATTCTATATTTTGTAAATTATATATAAATTAGAAGACAGGCTGTCTGCACCAAGGTGTGTTGGGAAGTGTATATAACCTGTAGACTTTTGTGTAATTTTTTGTGCATAATACTCTGAACACAGACTTGGCAGTTTTCAGATTATCACTATACAATCAAACAGCAACAGGTGAGTTTCCAGGCTGAATCAAATGCATTTTAAAATGAAAATCCAGAAAAATCTACAACCCCAAAGAAGAGGAAAATAAAGAAATACAATAATCACACAATTGTTCAATGCAGCATTCAAACCAAGGGTGGCGTGTTAACAAATGGAAACAGGACCTGTGAGTCTTAGCTAATGAGAAGGCATCAGCATGTTAAAAAGAGCTCTTCCAACTGTAACAGGGAGCTCATATAAGAAGATGAAAAATGACATCATTTGAACTTTTCTTTAAAAAAATAATTTTTCCATAGCTGGTATTAATGCAATCCTGCTGCTATGAGAGTTGTCTGATATGTTAACTGCCATTTGACATTGCAAAGAACTATGTATTTGCATCACTGAGTTGACTTTCCTGCAGTAGACATTTATTTAAACTGAGTCACATATTTTCAGTTTTCAGGAGTTAATTAGGTGATTTTCAAAACAAGATTTTGATGGAGAATTTGTCTGTGAGGTGGGTGACCTTACAATACAGTGCCATTGATATTGTGTTGAACATCCTTACCTCTAGTCAGGGTTGATAATAGCTCCATTATCATTTATGTACTTTTTTTAACTATTGAAGAAAAAAAATCCCTTGGTATTTTATTAAAAAAAAAAAGAAAAGAATTTTACAAAGTTCTATTTTTTATATTCTACGAGGGGTGAGTTTTGATATTGAATTTGGCTAGCACTAAAAATGACTCCAGTCTTTTGACATTTAATAAAGTTCTTTTCCACTCTTCTCAGGGCAGAATATTGTAGTATTAACAGCTTAATGATTGATTGCACTATGGTGGTGATTTATTTTTTTCCTACTTGACAACAATAATAAGTTAAAATCCATGGGCCTGTCTTAATTGATTTGCCATATTGCTAAGCATAACCGGAGCATTAAGCCATTTAAACTTGAGCTTAAATGGCATCGCCCCGTTCCTTCCCCCTTCCACTAGGAAACATTGCTAAAAAGTATAGTATATTGACTTCTGTAAAACTGCCAAGTCTGCCCTTGTACTATACTTTTGCTCCTTCACATCTTTCCTGGTTTGCAAAATACTTCAGTTGTATCACACTGTTATGCCCTTCTTTTCCACCTTCCACCCCTCTTACTCCCTCCTGACTTTCATTAGCTCCATGCCATACATTCAGTTTTAGATTTGCTTTCTACTTTATGAAAGTCTGCAGTCTTCTTAACTTTTGATTCATCTTATGAAGTTGTGTTGTCAATGAAATTTCAAGTCCCCAGTATCTCTAGCTGTGATTGTTGACAGTGTGTCATGATCATTTCAAGGGGTATTCACACACTCTTTACTCTGGATCTTGCAAAAATGGATACAGTTATGATTTCCCATGGAAATTGAAATCTATTTAAGTAATTTAACTATATTAAACACTGTTTCACTGGTAAAGCGTCTCTGTTTTATTTAAGATGCATCTGGCTAGTGAAGAGATCAGATGTAATTTGTGTATTGGATACTGATTTTGCATACAGAAACATACAGCTCTTGACTAGGGATGAATGACCATCTGCGCTACATTGCTACTGAGCAATATCCAATTACAGCCCCTCCACTTCTGCGCTGCACGCTGAACATCCATCCTACTTCCCACCTGTGCATGCACTCTGTGTACCCACTTACTTACCTTGAAAAATTAGTCTCGGAATAGCTGACAAGTCCTGGCTGTGAACCTGTGTTTAAGTATATGGTTATACCTGACCAGCTTACAAAGAAAAGGCGCTTAGGCGTGCTATTTAAGAACAAAATTAGTTTTACATCCCAGGGAAATAATTGCCCAGGTACACGCACACAGGGGAAAAAAACTGAACAGAGCAGGTGCACTAAGGTGCTTTTAGACGTGAGGCTCCCAAGGACAAGTGGAACGAGGTAGCAGGCCTGGCCAATACAACACTTACTTAGTTACACCCTTTATGTGTGAAAGATACTGCTCATTTGCTCATCGGAAACGCTCTGCTTCAGCTTCCTGTTAATTGGTGTAGTTGTGTGTGACTGAGAAACAACACGCTCCAGCTTTAAATTCACATTTTTTCTGAGCAGGAGCTGTTATACAGGCAATTATAAATTGAAAGGCTTAAAAAAAAAAAACTTATTTAAAAAAAAAACCCTCCTACTAAATAATAAGTAAGTTACCAAGAACATAACTGCACTACAAAATTAATAAAATAAAATAAAAATTGAAGTACTTAAAAAAAATAGAGGCTTTTAAAAAACACACACACACACACACACACACACACACACCCCCAACAAACACCCACACAAGCTTTTCTTTGACCACAGGCTTTCAGCCACGCACAACTAGTGCCGTCTACTGGAAACACACGTAGCCCGAGCAATGATGGCAGTGCTGCTGCTAAATACTTACACGGAAAGCGGCTGAAAGGGCTGACACTACAGGCACCACAACCATTTCAATGGTGGGGGAAAGCAGGTCACAACCTGGAGGCATTCACTAGCTCTACAGTCACCGCTCAGGCTGAAATGCTCAAAATGCAATTTATAGCCAAACAAAAACACTCCAAGAGCCAATGTTGTAGCCCAGCCCCCCCCCCCCAACCCCAAAAAAAAACCCTGGCCAATGGTGCAACAAAAGAAGCCCTTATGCTAGAGTCTGATGCTGCTTCTCGCAGCAAGGCCATGCTTGAAAAGCTCCTGTGAGGGATCAAGATTACGCAGTGAGGCAGCTGACCTAATGGCAAACACCTAACCCTCCCCCTTTTGTTTGCTGCAGCCCTTGAGCCTAAGTCCCAGCAGCATAGAAAAACGTGCCCTTAAATTCTGCAGCATCCAGATATGCAACTATGCCCAGAAACACCAGGGTAGGGG